GCTTTGCTCCGCGTCTCCCTGGTCTGCTGGAGAGACCCCCCACCCCCAGCAGACCAGGGAGATGCGGAGCAGCTTTTCTTGCTGCGGAGGACACGGGCGACGGGACTACGGCGCGTCTGGGCAGTCCCGCCACCCGCGTCCTCCGCGGCGAGAAAAGCCCCGTTCGTATGTAGGGATCCGACATAAGTCGGATCCACGTAACCCGGGGACTGCCTGTAGTGTTCTTTTCTAATAGTTTGTGTGAATGCGGTTTTATAAATTTTTAAATATGCAATCTGAAACAAACCCCAGAAATTCCATCTTCTGGAATCATACTGACAACATCAGCAGGGTTGTAAGCTTTGCCACTGTATTAATTTTCTTTTAGGAGAGAGACAGACAGAGAGTAATTTCCTGTACAACTCAGTATAAAGGACTAATAAGCAATTCATTGCCACACAATGTACTTTTATATTCATAAATAATTCTGCAGCATAGAGCCAATAGTTTATTACTCTGTGCCATCACGTAAGCACACTGTTCATATCTTTGTGTATGACACTTGGATTGTTTTTTACCTTTGCTTTATTGAACACAATCTCTCAAACTACCATATCTTGATGCTCCCACACATGCCAGCCAACTTTGCCTTTCAACATCTAACAAAGGAAATTTACTGACCTATATTTGATTTATAGGCTTACACATTTAATTGTAAATCTGTAAGTCTAGGAAAGTATAAATTCCCTATGATATGCATTACAGAAGAAAAGATAATGCAGTCATATAATTCTATGCTATGTAATGAACAAGCAGATAATGAGAAAGCAGTACTGGATAAACTAGTAAAGTATATACAAAATATACACACATTCTTTGTAATCTGTTACTTGAAAACTGCATCATTTTACGAAACGCCTTTTTTACCTTTGCACAAGATATGCAAATAAGCTGTCACAAACACTTTTATACGGTAATAAAGTCTTAGGGTATTAAAAAAACTGACTGAAATGGTTTGCTACTATATTTCAAGAGAAAAATTTGAGAATTTTTCTAACTGGGATGAAACTTGTTTTCTAAGCAATCAATTTTCAAAGTGTCTCATGTCATTTTGACTAGAATACCTTACTATTATTTTTTTATATAAATACCTTGCCCTTCATTTATCAAAACAGAAGACTTGTTCTTAAAATTCAGGTTATTTTACTCTGCATATTAAGGCAAACATATCTTTAAAATATGAAGTGCTCAAGAGAATGTGGACAGATGTGCAATGAAGCAAACAAAATGAATTTAATCTCTAATCTGGTTACTGTCATAAAGAAACCTCAGACTTCAGCTGTCAGAATAATTTAGAAGAACTCAAATCTAGCATTAAGCATCACAAGTATGTTGTATAATATTTTCATTATTACTTTTGCAGGGCTTTTTTATCTAAAGGGAATTTAATCTGTTATTCATTGTAAACAAATGCTTAGACTATTTCTTCATGAAGGTCTGAACTACGGGTTTCTATCACTAGACCAAACATGTGTAGTTGTATTTTTAAAAGTGCTTTTATCAAAATTATTTTTCCTAGTATTAATTTTCCTAAGATTTGTTGCTAATGTAAAATGTAAAATTCCTGCAAATATACAAAAGTGTAAATGTCATTAACAATGGCTAATATCTCATAAATGAAGTAACTGTCAGTTATCAATGTCCCTCAATTACAACTATATGACTATCTTCAAATATACAAAATGGAATATTATTTAAAATTGTGGATATCATCATTAGTATGCATGGTTCCTGACCCAACAAGTTTACACTATAAATCAACAATTCTGTGAAGAGTTTCCGCAAGTTTTAACTTTCCATGAATAGCCCTATTGACTTCAGTGAGACTAGTCAGACGGCATAAGATTAAGTACATGCATAGGTATTTCCTAATACCAGGGCCTATTTTAAATAAGACAAATACAGGATGCTATGGGAAATAATATTGGGCAAAGGAATGAGAGAATACATATGTTGGTTCCTTAATTCATACATGTCCACTGAACAATTAAAACCATAAATCAGTTTAGAATTACAAATACATACAATTTTTTAAAAACCACATGGTATTATATTGGGTGTGTCTAAACTACATGGCTCCATCGATGGAGCCATGTAGTTTAGACACACCCAATATAATACCATGTGGTTTTTAAAAAATTGTATGTATTTGTAATTCTAAACTGATTTATGGTTTTAATTGTTCAGTGGACATGTATGAATTAAGGAACCAACATATGTATTCTCTCATTCCTTTGCCCAATATTATTTCCCATAGCATCCTGTATTTGTCTTATTTAAAATAGGCCCTGGTATTAGGAAATACCTATGCATGTACTTCAGCTGTTTGTCGGCTCAGCGCAGCAGCCATTTAAATTTAAATGAAGCTGCGATTATTTAAACCGTGGCTTCATTTCCCTTTGCTGAACAAATAAATCTACATGGCTCCATTAACGGAGCCATGTAGTTTAGACATACCCATTGTGTCTTATAAAGTGACTGCCACAAGACTAGAGTGTCCACACACTGGCAAAGAAACTAGGGTATCAATAAAGATATGTAGGTAATCCCTAAGTAAAATAAAAAAAACCTATATTAATTCACAATTAAGGCCACAAATCCCTATCCTAAATTTCACGTTTGCTAGTTATCAGTTAGGAAGTATTTGTCTGCATCATGACTATTTTAAAAACAAACATTCAAAATTCTTTTTGAACCTCAGCTCTGTATTTAAAACCCTAACTTTGTATCCCAGCTACAGTTTGCAAAACTCATGGCAAGATACCTAAAACTATTCTGTAATTCCTTCTCTCCTTATCTAACTTCTCATTCCATTCTTTTTATGCAGATTAAAAACACATATTCCAATCCCCATCCTACTATCTTGAAAAGAAGATTGTAACATTGTCACATTGGACACATCTTATAAACAGAAACATTCTAATATCCACCACATGAATTAAACCAGATTAGGGACTAAATGTTCCAGTTTCTAAAATACACCACCCACCTTGTCTAAATAGACTGATTCACAGCTATGCTCATCTTACTTCTTCTCAAACGAACCATCATTTTATATAATGAATAAGGAGAATTAATTAGGTTATCATTTTAGGGTTTAACCCATGCACACACTCACCAATGCCAGTTTATTTACTGCACAATACTTTTGCCCAGACTGATCACACAATAAGTTTTGATAGGAGTGAGAATGAGTATCTGTGCATGTAGGCTTTTGTTCTGTAGGCATGCTAAACACACACTGAAAAGATTTAAGTCTATAAATATAATTCTTATAAAATGGCAAACTAACCTTAGAAATCTAAACATATGAAAAATCCATATGGCAGTTTTTAAATGTTTACCCAGTGAAACCAAGCAATAGTCAAAGTGACAAAATACCAACAGAAAACATACATCTATTTTTTCAAAAGCCAGTTTTATTTTAATCTGGTTTTATCCTCTCTTACCCCTTACCTCAGGCTGATTAGAAATATTCAGAATGAGTGCCCACAATTCAGCTCGGAGTGCTGTTGGGCATCCCTGACGGACATACTGTTGGGCTGCAGCACTATCTTGTTCTGTTAAAACTGAAAAAATGTAAATGCTATGAATTTACATAATATACATAACCATACATTTCCAGAAATTGTCATGTCATTTTTTTAAAAGTTTTTACTACACACACTTCTTTAAATCCTGAAAGTGATGGAGGAAAAACAAGCACACCCCAGGTCAAACTCCTGCATCAGACAGAAAGGTTCTATCAACTGAATTTCCCAAGTCTTTATCGCCAGCCACAAACATGTTTGTCTTCTTGCACTGCATACAAATATCAAAGGGACATTATATAAGGTATGAATATATATGTTTTAACATTTACAATTGCTATTTAGTTTAACTCTGATATGCATTTATTTTACCTTACTTTCTTCCCCTTGCACCAAGTGTGCTAGTTTCTATTTGACAGCTACTCATGGGCAATGGGGTCGCTAATGTTTGTTTGATGCCATCTCTGCCTGGTTTACATCAATATTGGGGTGATTACACAAAAGAAGAGAAAGAGATCCCAATCAGGCTCCTTGAATGAAGCTGGATAGGTCTGGGTTGGCTGCCATCACCTCAAAAGTCACAGAATCAGAGCTATCAGACTTCCTTACATTCACTGGCTGGCCTATTTCTCACTCATCTTCAAATTCTTGCTTAGATAAAAGATCTTGTTCAAGAAAATGACATCATGTGGCCAGCTGGCCCAAAGTGAACAATGGGTTATTTGTTTCAGAATTGCTGGAAGTCTCTGTTTTACCACGTATTTTCTTGGCTTGTAAAGTTCTCTAATAGATGGTGCACTTGTGGTCTGGGTGATTTCCACCTTTTGTGGCTTAGGCAAAAAAGGAAAAATAAAACATTGCCACACTGTAAGTAGCAGTTACCTGCTGAGCCTCCAAGTGGTTGGTTGCTATCATGTCCCTGGGCCACTTCCCAAGGAAGCTGCTCCATCCAGCCCTTTCTCTTGGGCCTTGTGGTCAAATCCTCCCTGTCCAAGGTTCTGCAAGAGTTGCTATTGGCTTACTGGCTAGTCTTCAGCTGTGGGACCTGGTTCTGACCAGATATGAAGTACAGCTCGCACTCAGAGCTGTCCAGAGTGCTGCTGTTCTCCCAGTCATCCCTTAGGTCTGCTTGGGTCCAGCTCCAGTAAGGAACTGCCAGGCCCTGGCCCAGGAACTTCTTTTATATCAACGCGCTGCACCCTGACTGGCTGCAGCAGAGGCTGCCACTCTGTTCTGCTTGGAGGGTTTCTCTTCATCTCCTGTTGCTGGGCAGGGTACAGAAAGGCTTCCAGCAGAGATATTGGGGCCATTTCCACCCCATCACACTTTGATTTTTTAATTTTTTTTACAATAAAGAGAACTTCACCTCCCATGTAGCAGTTCCACAGCTGCTAATAGAAAGCAAATACGTCAGTTTCCCATCTCCCTCTTCACAGATGCTGAAGACTGCCTCATGGCTTTGTGTCACTGCCACTATGTAGAACAAGGTGTGAAAAAGGAGCTTGGAGGTAGAGGCTACTCTGAATGGTCAAGAGATAGGGAGAAGTGAATACTAGGGAAGATACAGGGTTTACTCGGGAAGCCTGATTTGCAGGGGATAGGAATTCACTGAGGAAGTACAGGAAAAGGGATGGATGAGAGAGATGGTATCTCAGCTGGTTACGGAAAGATAGAATGACTGTGTGAGGAAAAGAGAGATGAAGGACCTCAGAAAAGAGACGAGAGAAGGGAGAGATGCCACTGTCTTCTTACCTACTGCAGCAGAAGAAGAAAGTGGACATGCTTCCTAAATAGGCGATGGGGTCCACCTTACCTGCTGTCTGTCCTTTGTAGATAGTGACTGGGGTAAATAATAATGAGCAGCTACTGTCAACTCCTAAAGATGCGGAAAGTAACACTATGGCTATGTCTAGACTGCAGGCGGATCTTTCGAAAGAGCAATCCGCTTTTTCGAAAGAGAGCACCCAGCGAGTCTGGATGCTCTCTTTCGAGGAAGCCCTATTTACATTGAAGAACGCCTTCTTTCGAAAGAGGAACTTTTGAAAGAAGGCGTTCTTCCTCGTGAAACGAGGTTTACCGCCATCGAAAGAAAAGCCGCGTTCTTTCGAAATAATTTCGAAAGAACGCGGCTTGAGTCTGGACGCAGGGGAAGTTTTTTCGGGAAAAGGCTACTTTTCCCGAAAAAACCCCTGAGTCTGGACACAGCCTATGTGTTTCTTCCCTAGCAAGATCTTATGAAAGATTTTTAATATATTTTAAAATCAAAGATAACTTCTCATCCTACAGATACAATGAGAATTTATCATGCACTCAAAAAAAGGGGGGGGGAATACAAGAGTGGAATAAAAAATCAGTGAAAATCATCCATAATGGCTTAGAGTTGCAGTATTTAGGTTCTGCAATTATGAATAACCATCAAAAGGAATTAGGGTTATATTTTGATCTGATGCATGGGCATAAATCCCATCAACACTAATGAGAATTGTGTGTGCACAGATGGGAGAACAGGTTCCTTTGATTTTAAAATGAAATTCAGAAGTAGTATGGGTTAAGCTGTGGCCATAAAAGAGTGTGTCTATGCTTGCTATTTTGCTTTTAGTGACCCAGCCATAGAGCTATTTATCTGGCACCTATTGGTAGATATTAAATGCTAGATTTTCTACCTTTATATAAACATTCACAGCATTATCCACTGCATTTTATATTACTATGGGTGAAATATTAACAGTCTCAGGAATGATCATTTGAAATATTCTTAATTCCTCAGATTTTATTGCAACTGAAATCAGATCCTTACCTATTTGTCCAACACGTACATGTTCATTTTCAAAGAGTTCTAAAAAAACCAAAACAATTATGAATAAAATGCAAAAATAATGAAGATGACAAAAATACTTCAGCTAGCTGTGTGTCAATGTTTTGTATTTTTGACTCAGATTATTTTGATTCCTACTAAACATAAAAGTCCGCAGATTCAAACACATCTTTAACTCTTTTATTGCTAATGTTACTATAATTATCTAACAGCATCAGCAGCACTATTCTTCTGTAATTTAGACTGAAAAATACATATATAAAAATTATTAGTTAAACTATGTAGCACCTTTAATCAGAACATTTTCCACTGGAAAAAAAAATCTCTAGCCTATAATTTTCCATTCTTAGAGTAGTTTCTACAGATATGTGCATGCAAGAAATAAAACACCATTATGTAGCATTTAAACCACAAGATATTTGACACATTTTTTTCTGTAATATTTTTTAAAGGATGGACATCAAAAAGGTGCCTCAATTTTCCCAATAATCCTGTGGTGTTACAGCTGCACAGTTTTGATTTGAAACTTATTGAGTCTTTCTAAAAAAAGATTTGAGACACAGGTCTGATTCTGAAAACCTGCAGCTCCATCTGAAATAAAAGGAATTGCAGGCACTCCACATCTTGCAAATACAGCCCTTCACATTTGCAAATGTTATCCACTACCCGTTCAAATATGTTCAATTTGAGTTACATGAGAACCATTAGTGTTACAAGTGTGAGATAAATACAGATCAGTATTATGGAAAAATATACAAGTTACTTTTCACTTACACTGTTAATCACAACTGTTCTTATTAAATTACTGAAGAACAGCACTCACTAACCTGGAGGTACTTGTGTAGAATCATCAATACCCAGCTGCCCTGTAGTCAAGCCTAGCTCACTGAAAGAGTCTCTCTGAAAAAATACAAATAGCTATTAATAATGTGCTTTTAATTCTCTAACAGATTCCTCTGTAAAAGCTTATGTTTATTTTTAAAAAATCATTTAATTAAATGTATTTTTATTATCTATAAGGTAAGAAACTTTATACACGTATAAAGTAAATGATTTTAAAAGAGAAAGAAAATTCTTGTCCTGATTCTTATTGTAAAAACAGAACAGTTTGATATACAGGCCCTGATTATCAACTACATGTGAACTAAACTCAGACAAAACAGAGGGAAATTATAAGGAGCAAGTTATGGCTCTCTGATTCACTGGTGCACTGCCCTCAGTGCAAGTTAGCGTTTGTACAGGGGAAGCCCTAATTCTCTCCACTGACGAAGTCCCTCAAGAACCTCATGTTTGAGGAAAATCAGGTGCAACAGAAACCAGATCAACCACATCTCTTTTCTTTCTTGTTTGACCTACATCCTGTCCTCAAAATGCATGTGACACACATTCAGAGTGGAAGCCATGTTAGTCTGTATCTGCAAAAACAATAAGGACTCCTGTGATACTTTAGAGACTAACAGAGAACACACAGTATCCTTCCTAGGGTTGCCAGGTGTCTAGTTTATCACTGTAACATCCAGTCCAAAAAGGACCCTGGAAGCACAGGTCAACACTGCTGACTGAGCCATTAGAAATCAAGATGACAGCACAGTGAGGCTAAGCCAGGTTCCCTGCCTCCCTGGGCTTAGTGTGGCTCCTGGAAGTGACTAGCTTGTCCCTTGAGCACAGTGGCAATCAGGGAGGCTGCATACAGTACCTTCACCCTGAGCACAAAGAAACGTGGCCAGTCGGAGTGGTAGGGGTAGTGCCTTCAGGTAAAAGCAGCACACAGGAGGGACCTCGTGGCCACTCCTGTACCTAGTGGTCAAAGGGACATGCCGGCCACTTCTGGGAGCCGCCTGAAGTAAGTGCCACCTAGAACCCATCTGAACCCTCTTCCCCACTCCAATTCCTGTCATAGCTCTTACCCCCCAAACTCCCCCGCAAAGTCTGCACCAAGCACCCACTCCTGCACTCAGAACCCTTTGGCTCCAACCTGAAGCCCACTTCTGCAACCTAAATCTCTCAAACCCAGCCCCAACAAAGAGAGAGCACCCCCAACTAGAGACCGCACTCCTTCCTGTACCTCTATCCCCTGCCTGATGAAAATGAGTGAGTGAGCGAGCAAGGGTGGGAGAAAGTAAGTGACAGAAGGAGAGAACAGAAGGAGCAGGGGGTGGGGCCTCAGAGAAGGGACAGAGAAAGGGCGTTCAGTTTTCTGCACTCGGAAAGCTGAATTTAAATCAAATGAAATCAAATCAAATATTTAAATCAGCAAGCAGGAAACCTTGATTTAAATAATCAAATTTAATATAAGCTTTTTACCTAATTTTCCTGAGGAAAAGTTGATCCTTATAAGCTGTCAATCATTAAAGCATTTTGACTTACAAGTAAATATAATCTTCATCCTAAATATGTAGCTTCATTTTGCTCATCAGGAGAATACACTATATGTACACACATTTATTTAGCAATGGGTTTAAACAGTTTAACTTTTTACTGCATGATTAATTTTTCACTTGTATCAAACTCTATAGGGTAGGAAATTCAAATAAATTAAAATATAGAAAAACAGGATTTTCATTTCTTTTATTAAATAAAGCTAAAATGTGCTAGATATATCAGCTTCCCTCCGCTCCCCCATCAAAACATGGTTTGCATAGCAAACAAACATTTATTAAACAAAAGGAACCAATAACTGTATTTGAATTGAATTAATTGTTGTTTCTGTTCAGCATGTCCTTCAAGATTTTAAAACTAGGAAAATCTCATCTTCCTCTGACACATGTATTTTTGTAAATAAATTAAATTAGTTTGAAAGGTTTTATAAGGTTGGGCCTCAACAGAGATTGTCAATTGAAAAATGAATTTTAAACAGGCTTTTTTAAAATTAACCTTCATTTAAATTAGAGTCTGATTCTTAATTTTTTTTAAATCGCTGATTTTGTCCACTATATATGGAACTCACTGCCAGAAGGTATAATGGAGGTTGTGAGTGAAGAGGGTTTCAAAAAGGAGTAGTTATTTACAGAGATAAGAAATACAAAACTGTGAATGTTTATGTTAAGAAAATGATTATGAAGAGAATACACTGTCACTGTTCAAGGTGTAAATCAATAACCAGCTAACTGGGGGAGAAAGAAACTTCCCTTTTTTAATTCTGTACTTCTTTTTCATTAAGAAGTTCCTATAATAAATCTTTTCCGTATATATTATATTTTATTTACTGACCTATTGTACATCTTTAGTCACTTCTTTTAAAAAACAAACATTAACTAAAATCAAGATTAGTTTTTATTGTCTAGTATCTTATTGATTAGCCAGCCAAAACAGTTCTCACAGAAACCTTTTTTAAAAAGAGATTTATTTTAATATATCTATACGTACCAGTTCAGGGATGTCTTTAACTTTCAGAGGAACCTGAATTAGACCCAGGTGATTTCTGAAACTAGGCTGATCCCCGTTTTCATAATTTGGGTTGCGAAGGTTCATCAGTACCTTTTTTAAAAAAAAAAGCATATAATCTGTCATTCCCTGTTTATATACCTAAATTTACAACATGAGATTGTGGCCCAAAATAGGGTTGCCAGATGGTTTCAACAAAAATACCAGACACACTTGACATTACATCACAATCTACATTCCATCTTATTTAGAAAATACTGGACATTTATATTTTCCCATTTATATTTTCTCAGTTTGTTTCCTGAACAGAAAGCTCAAATACTGGACTGTCCGGTTCAAAACCGGACATCTGGCAACCCTAGCCCAAAATCATCACAAACTGCTATTTCCAGTGTAGGCCTATATTTTCAAATGCAACTATTGTAGTAATTTGGGGCAGACAATTTCAAAATCCATTAAGGGGTCTGATTTTGAGAAAGTGCTTAAAGCTCCCCTTTGGAAACCAAAAGTGAGGTACTGTAATCACCAGTTATTTCTGAACACTGAGGTCATACACTATGTCCTAATTAACACTAGCTTTCCTATTAAACAATACCAGAAACTAACAATAACTTCCTCAATGACTCTGAATTCTAAGACACTGATTTGAACTTTTTTTAAAAGAGCAATTTTATTAGCTTTCTGATACTCAGTGCCACCATGTATTCTGCAATTCCATTGCTAAGCAATTTGCCAAAGAATTCACCTCTTGCCACAGAATTGTGGTACAGCATCTCTGTTTTCAATTTTTTTAAAGTATTTATAGTCCTTATGGTGGCATCTGTAACACTAAAGACATAAACAAGAGCAAACTGATGAGCACCTACAAGGTATGAAATCACAGCTTCAAGAGCTGTGAACTGTCTTACTCATCTCTGGATACCACGTATTCTGTGATTTTGTGGCCGTGGAATTTAAAATTTTAAATGGACAACTGGCAAGGAGCCTTTTTTCTTTCCCAACTTAACTCATGATTTCCTGAAAGAGACATCCCCTACTGTATTTAAGGAATATGAAGCTGAATCCCTCTCCCCACCCAAGTTTTGTTAAATAAAGAGAGTTTATGTTCATGAAAATCTGTGTATTTTATTTTACATAAGGAAGGGGGTCTCGGGATGGATAAGTGGAAGGACGTGAGGGAGGAATGAGGCACAAGCCCCCATTGGGGCAGACCAGGGAGGTTCTTAGTGCTCAGGGTAGAAGCTCTCCTGCAGGACCTCCTGGATACTGACAGCCCCCCAGTGGACCGCCTGGATGGCAGCCTGCAGAAAGTGTAGCCAGACTCGCAGCAACGTGTCCACAAGAAGCACCAGAGTGCCCAGGGGAAGGTCTGGCTCCATGTTGTAGAGTGCTGTGGTGTCCCGAGTGAGGACAACCAGAGCACGCAGAGACAAAATGCTTTGCTGTCCCTCAGTGAGGTAGGCAAGCAAGCAGGGAAACCTGAGAACTGGCTGTCCGTGGGGGGGGGGGGGG